CCGCATACCGATCCTAAAGTCTCGTGTAGCTTTCGTCTGCCCTGATATAACGCCTGCATTGCCACAGTCTAGTACTGAAACGGCACAGGCAATACCAGAAGGACAGGATACTACACCTGCCTCAACTGTAGGCCAATGTGTGAAACACATCAAGCCTAAAAGGAAACGTTCAAGACGTCATAAGACCTCGAAGGCGTCATCAAGGAAAGGAGATGAATGTCAGGCGTGCAGCATCACAGTTTCTAAAACTGATTCAGCGTTTGAATGTAATTTTTGCAAACGATGGGTGCACTGCCGTTGTGACAAAGAAGTACCGAAAGCATACTATTAGTTTATGAGAAATAACCCATGCCCATGGTTTTGGTACGTGTGTCCACTTTGTCGCCCTGGCATAGTCCCACAAAGCGTGTCTGGGGATAGCAGAAACAACACGCTCTTGTGCCCCAACACAGTCTCATGCAGCTACCCCTGCTAAAATCGCACTGCCAAAACTGGTCAAAGACTTAAAGAAGGACACACCAGCCCTACTGACTGGAAATGCCAATTCTCACAAGGTGAAGATTAGCAAGGTTCCATCCACATCAGGGGAAGGCAAAATTACAAAGGCACCACTTGCATCCACTAGCAAGACTGGCAACACGAAAAGGCTGTCCAGGTACCGATGAAGCCTAATGTTGCTAATGATGCAAAGGACTGCAAGAAGCCGAAGGCCAAACCTAAGTCTGAGGGTAGTCGGTCTAACTCTCTCATCCTCTTTAACGTACCTGTGAGCACGGATAGCTTGCTCGAACAACGGGCCCTGTTTGATCAGGAACAGTGGTCCAACCTGTGCAGCAAACTAGGTCTGAACATTAGTTCAGCAAAATTGTGCAGACTGTATAGGGGTGTCCACACGCCTCAGGGTAAGCCACCCCCATTACGGGTTACACTGGACTCTGCCGAAGAGGCCGAAAAAGTACTGTTAATGGCTCAGGTACTAGCCCTGGACAGAAGTTCTAACATAAGGGCGAGGCAAGATAGACCATGGGCTATCAGAAATATGGCGAGGGAGTCACCGGAACTGATGCCTTCCACCTCTATGGTGGTACACGGTGTCCGGAGCTGGAAACCGGCACTGCTTGTAAAAAACACATGCACGACGTACAGCAATGGAGATGGCTGTCATCTCAGATGGCCCCTGGCGCTTCTGGAGCCATCTCCATTTTCCGACTACCTCGTCCCGCTCATCTAACACTGATTAACTCTCCAAAGCTTCTATGTGTCACATTCAACTCCCCGGAGCAGTTGTCCATAGCACTTCAACGGTGGTATGGGACCAAGGGAAAAATTGGAGGACACATCCGATGCTGTGAAAGCAGACCCCGAAATATAAGGACGCAGCAAACTGAGGCTTTAATACGATCCCAAGCTTCGGTGACGCTAGAGCGATGCAGCTCTGAGAATAATAGTCTGTGTCTCCCAAGTGTCCTGCCTAAATCCATTGAAAAAACTACAACGGGCCGGTTCTATCGGAATCGGCCAACTAGTTCCAGCATCAAGTCCCCCATCAGCAGACGGTTTCACCCCAACTACCCCACAACACTCTGAGGTTGTTAGACTCACTGTCAGTTGCCTATATAGCAATGTGAGGGGGCTTAGAGGAAAAGTAGGTGAACTCCGAAATCTCCAAGCACACCTTCAACTGAAAATAATCATTCTCACTGAAACGTGGCTAAACCCCACTATCACCGACAATGAAATCAGTATAGGTGATGTGGTACTGGTCAGAAGAGACAGGGATAATAAGGAAGGAGGGGGAGTTGCTATATACTTTGATAGGCAACTTAAATGTGTGCGCGTAACGGACCCACCACTTATCGACTCCCAGACTCCATATGGTGTCATTTCACCGTAGGCCACACCAAGCACTTACTGGGTGGCATCTACCGATCTCCTACCTGTGGGGCAGAGCACAATCAGCTACTGCTCAGCACTATCACAGGATACGAGATTTGGGCTACGACCAAATCACCATAGCTGGAGATTTCAATGCTCCATCACTGGACCTCGGCTCCGGGTGTGCTAAGGGAAAATTTGGCCGAAACCTACTGCAAACTATTCGAAACACGGGACTGAGTGAGAATGTTGGAGACGACACTAGGTGGGGCCCTAGTGGAAAGTCATCAAAACTAGATTATATTCTAACTAGTGACCAACTACTCGTCGAAAATGTCCAGATCATGACTCCTCTGGGAAGCAGTGACCATGCAGTCATAGGTTTCGATCTTGTTCTCCGTGAGCGTTTGCAGTGGGATGTTACGCGACCATGTCTGTGCTACAGCAAGGCTGACTATGCTGAAATGCGGAGGCTCTTGTCCGACGCAGACTGGCCCTTAGCATGGGACGACCTATCTGTGGATGAACACTGGGAAGTGGTAAAAAAGATTATTCATATAGCAATCTCGGATACCGTCCCTTTAGTCACAACACAGCCCAAGAGAAAGACGTCATGGTTGAAGAGAGGCACGCAACGTATTCTGCAAGCAAAGCGGAAGGCTTGGTTTACGTGGCGTGTATCTAAGAGTCAGACCGACCATGATGCATACCTCGAACTCAGGAACCGGTGTAATGCAAGAGTCAGGAGGGACAGGAGGTCATTCCAGGCTAACCTTGCTAAAAAACTCCTATCAAACCCTAAAAACTTGTACCGATTCATGTCGGAAAGAAAACCGACAAACCAAGGGGCATGAGCCTTAGTAGGCCCAAACGGTCAATATCTCACTAGTCTGGAGATGGCTGAAACATTCAGTTCAGCCTTCGCTAAACAGCTAAACAGCAATGTGGATATTACAGTTACGGACCAAAATGGTGGCACCACTATTTCAAAGGAGGAAGACCTAGCGATCACTCCCCAAATAAACCACGCAATAGTACTAAGGAAGCTACAGCGACTCATACCTGGGAAGTCCCCAGGTTGTGATGACATTACGCCATCTGTTCTGAAACAGTGCGCCGAGGCTCTCTGTAGACCCCTGTGCGACTTGTTCCAACACTCAATGGATTCGGGGACACTGCCAAAGGAGTGGAAAAGAGCCATCCTTTCTCCAATCTTCAAGGGTGGGGACAGGCAAAACGCTATTAGCTATAGACCAGTAGCTCTACTCCCAGTGCTTTCAAAAGTACTGGAAAGTATTATTGACGACCACATCAAGGAATATTTCGATAGGACTAATATACTACATGAAGCCCAACATGGTTTCAGAAAAGGCAGATCCTGCGTCACTAACCTACTGTCAGCTTGGGACGACTGGACGTCATGCTGAGACATGAACGTACCAGTCCATGTGGTCTTCCTAGACTTTGAGAAGGCATTTGACACTGTTCACCATGACCTTCTCCTGCATAAAATAAGCCAGGCAGGCATAGGTGAGCCACTTCTGTCATGGTTGAAGGACTACCTAGCCGACAGGCAATTTTGCACTAAGGTTAACAGAGTCCGATCATCTTGGCACAGATCGTCATCAGGAGTGTCGCAGGGTTCTATCCTAGGACTATTGATGTTTTTGATTTTCGTCAATGATCTACCATGCCGTCTGAGCTTCCCGACTCTCCTATACGCTGACGACGTAAAAATGTGGAGGGCGATAAAGTGTCCGGAGGACTCAGATAGGCTACAGGAAGACCTAAACCTTCTGGAAGACTGGGCGGTGGCCAGTGGCATGACTTTCAACTTGAAAAGGTGCAAAGTAGTGAAGTTGCGCACCTGTAGACTGCAGAATGCAAGTTACACCCTGTGCAATGAAAGCTTGTCCTGCACAACGTCGGAACGCGACTTAGGTTTAGTTCTAACGGAAAAAATGGACACAAGCGTAAATTACACAGGGGATGTAGCGAGGGCATATGCGGTCATACACTTTACGCATAGACAGTTAGATGCACTCACTCCTGAGCTCTTTCTAATGTTGTACAAAACATACGTCAGGCCACACCTTGAGGTGCATAATATTATTGCACCCCCAATGCTGAGAAGAGACGCCAACCTATTGGAAAGAGTCCAACGACGGGCAACAAAAGGAGTGGTTGGTCTCCGAAACAAACCATATGATGAAAGGCTGAAGAAATTAGGCCTGTTCACACTTAGTTACCGTCGGCTTAGGGGGGATTTGATTACTGCCTACAAAATAACAAATGACCAGAATCACCTAAAGAAAGGTGTTCTGCCATTGAGTAGGTATAGGCTCCCACGTGGAAATCCCAGAAGGATAGCTCACCAGAGGGCAAGGACCCGGGTGCTCTCCCACTTCTTTTCACTGCGGGTTTGCCGTCCCTGGAATTCCTTTCCGGCAGATGTAGCTATGGCACCGTCTTTGGACGCCTTTAAGCGAAGGCTGGACAACCATGCAGCGATACAAGGACTGCATCCAAATGGCCTATCTCCTTAAAATCGCATATACCAATCAGGGTAGATAATTAAACTCGTCGTTTTACTTCTTTACATTCTCTCCTGTCTTACTCTCCTGACAAATTATTAATTTTATAATAATTATTATTGCTATTACCGATATACATATTATTCTTCAAACTTAATGAGCTGACTGTTGTTACGTTTCCTATTTCCGTTTCTGTCTCTTAGTCTGAATAACTTCACTAATTATATCTATTATTATTATTATTATTACTATCTCTTTTCTCTTGTCGACGATACCGAAGGATTAACTGGCGAAAGGATCAACTCCAATCACAGTAGTAACAGTCTTAACATACCTCATACTACAAACCACATATAATTAATCCCAGCACTACTCCCTTTGAAGTCAACCAAAGCTACGACAGTCGAGTGGCGGGACAAGCTACGCAGAAGTTTACCGAAGATCAGGAACCTATACCTTACAATCAAGAAGCGACCACAAAGAAATCAAATTGGTTTATACTAGCTCGTTAAAACGATATTGGATATTGGATCGTTAAGAGGGTGATTTGGTTTGAACAGGAAGGTGCGTTCGTTTGGCTTTGCAGTTACAATGTCTCGGAAGGTTCAGGAGCGTAATAGGAAGAAGTCTCGGTATGATTGCGTACATTGTAACGAGCCCCTTACTGACATAGATGCCTGAATAATAAATCAAATAGGGTTTTTGGGAAGTGTTCTGAGCTGAGAAGGGCTGATACAGCATCTACTGAACCTTCAATCATAAATCGAATAAATACTCTTACGAATGACGACTTCCAGTTGAAAATGAATTCTGACTCTGCAACGCAGGAAAGCAACGTAAATTGTAGAGGAAAATCGGAAACAAATGAAGTAAGTTATAGATTATTGTGCCTATTTTATGAGTAGTCCTCATATACTGAGTTCTAAAACGTACTCATTTTTAGCCGAAAAATTAGTGGCATAGCTTCATGGTTTATGCGCTCCTAAATTTTGAGAAGTCCAGTAGCTTGAAAATATTGTTTTAAGACACGTTGATATCAAGCTCACAGTACTGGAGATATATGTTCTATGGTCCTTGTGAAGTGTTGTGTAATATGGTATAAAATCATGTGATTATGAGCAGTAGTTTGTGCTCGAAATGTCATTAGTTAATATTACTGTATAACACTGTGATTTATCAAAATCAAATCTTATCTACGATGGAGTTATACTCTACCAAAGTGCCGAAGTTTTATGGCTATTTTGAGGTTAAATGTAGTGGTAGGTAAGGGAGATATTGTGAGGCTACACCTATTGAGATGACTTGAACACGTTGCATGCCGAACTACATTCTTCCCCTACGAGCAATCGTAGTTGATATAGGGTTTTGTTGGAAGAGTGGGGATTTGCCAAATGGAAACCCAAGAGTGATTGACGAAGACTTTGGACATTTGCTTTGAGCCACGTAGAGGGATGTAGACTGCCTGGATGGAGTCCTCGGGTTGCCTGGAGGGTATCGGTGATATGGCTCAAAATCGTCCTTAAGGACGCGGGTGCATCCACTCTCTATGTTCTATCAAATACATTAAGTCCTTATTAAAGTTTAAGTCTTCTTACCCTGGTACTATGTCCTCGTAGTCTTTTCCACTGCACTTGAAATTGTAGTTTAAGAGAGATCGGCTTCACGTACCGAATGTTTCAGTCACCTTAGATAGTGTATCACAACCTTATTGTATTAAATTAAATTTTTCATCGGGTTTTCAAGATTGTGCATTTTACAGTTCATTATATATGTATGAGTGCCTCATTGGCTGGGGCACTAGACTTACAGTCTGTTAGTCGTGGGTTCGAGTTCCGCCCCACCTACTTGAATCCGGACAACTGGGTGGTATTTTCATCTCTCACAATCCTCACAGTCCAGTCTGGTAGATGAAAAATGTGTGTTCTGAACAACTGAGGTCAAACACTGTATCTTTAAACTGTTATAGGACAAGACAACAGGGACTGCAATGCAACGTCATGGTTTGCTAAGGTCAATATTTGATGAGCTTTAGACGAGGAATTAACTTCACTTTACTGTTTGTCGTTGAATTAATTTTATCAGTTGACAAATGGTTCATTTAGTCGATCGATATCTTAAGATTAGTTCACTTTACTGACGACAACAAGGTTTAGTGGAACTGTAGTCCTATATTTTTATGTAGGTTCCCAAACTGTTTGCCAATTATATATTTATTCTCCTTTTCTCCAATTAACATCAAATTTTCATTAGAATACTTAAAAAATTAGGTGTAATTTACTAAGAATTTAAACAAAGTTGTATTTTTATGTGTTGATCACATATCCATTTATATTTGTTCACAACGATTTGTCTAATTCAACGACTTATTTTTCCCTGAAATTGGACGAGGAATGTGACGAGTTAATTATAATACATGAAGAAAATACTTCTAATGTGGCCGCTCAACCTCCCAGTGATAATGTGCAAGCAGAATCGACTACGAATTGTGACGAAGACTCCTTGTAAGTGAAACTTTTTTTTGTACCTTAGAAAGCAGTTAGTCATTTAGGTAGCCTAAAGTGATTGATACTTTGCCTTTCCTTAAAATGTTGAGTGTTCGTCTTCACAGCCACTGATGACCACCTCACATTGCTCACATTACATAGATTTTAACTTAATTTCACTCCTTACTATCCAACATACTTGCAAACCAGCATGTTGCTAAATTACTGTTTACATCGGGATTTTCGGACTCTTAATATAGCTAACGTGATATGACATTTGAAACTGTCTACATCAACCACAATAGGCAACATCGTGTTTAAGATCTTTCCCCTCTTTTTTCATAAAAGTATGGGATGCGTATTGCTTATATCATTTAGTCAAATAAATGACTAGTTTTCATTATCACTATCGAGTCATGAGCATCACTTGACAGGTGTTACTGAAAACAATTACGAATGTTGTAGCATAGAACTTTTTACATGAAAGCAAGCTTTCAGGTTACACAACTTATGGTTGTCAACCTTAACTATTATCTACTAATCACTCAAGCCTAAAATAGAGGTTTCGGATTGTGAGGGCGATTGTTACTTCCCGGCTGCCCACACCGTGGAAGTTGGTTGCGTGACCGCAGAGCCCAGGGGACAACTGCTTGAGGCCGGTCACACGCGGCCTGTTTTTGTTTGTTCTCTTTTGTTTGGTGTGTCTCAGTAGCATACTTATCACTCCTACCCTGTGACACGGCAGCAGGAAGCGCGGTGGTTGTTAATCCGGGCCACGGCCGATCCGGCATGATATTTTGTGAATTTGTTTGAATCATGGTATTGGATGGGGTAGCTGCTTTTTGTTTAACCGCTATCCAAACAACCTGCCTGGCATGGTAGAACCTCAAGAGACATAAGTCTCAGCCAGTATAGCTTGAATAGATCATTGCGGTGTTCAAGCCCGACCACCACGTCAAGGTAGCAGCTTTCGGTCGGGCAAGCCTGAAATATGTTTGAAGAAATAAAAGTGTATTATCTTCTCACTTTATTGACTTGTTCATTAGAAATATCAGAGTAGAACTGTTGCTTACCGCATGACTCTTAGAACACAATTTATTGTTTCTGAATATGTCAAGTGGAATTCCACAGATGTATGTTTGGAGTAATCATGGTGACCAGTATTATGACGATAAATTCTGTTTGTTATAATATCAGTTGCTTGATATTGTTTCACTATGTCTTATGAGTGAAGCGACATAGTGTTGAATACCACAGGACTCAAGTTCTTGTGTTTTATATTTCTTAAAATATTTTAGTCTACATATTAGTGTGAAATTCAATTGTTCGTATTCGCAGATCCCTAGTATCACTTGACAGCTCAGATATTTATTATATCTACTGACAGCTTGCATTATTAGACGAATTATGCCGAAAATGAACGGATAACTAAGGCGTCTTCATTTTTATCGTTTGGAAATGGTTTCAGGTGATTAAGATTCATGTTCTATTGTTGGGGAGACAATTAGGAGGTATGAAACAGGTAAGCTCTTCTGCATGGATGGATGGATTGGCATATTTTACACAATAGTAGCATTTTATGGAAGAAGTCAGTGTATATTGATTCCCCTGTGAAGTAAAAGTTGCTTACGATCAGTCAGTCGCATAAAACGTTGATCAATGCTCACAAATGAAGCAAATCTTGTTATCTAGTGTGTATGCGGGTTGTATTCAGTAAATATGACTTTTGTTTTGCTCTAATCTAAAGATTTTATAAGACGACTACTATTTGAAATTTCCTTAATTATTATTTTCAGTAAATTTGATTATAAGCCTGCTGGATCTGTTGATGGTATAACATTGACGAAAAGTGATCTTCAGTGTCTTGAACCTGGAGCTCTTATAAACGATGCAATAATAAATTTTTATCTGAAATACTTGTACTTCGAGCAACTGACAGACTCTCAGAGACAAGCTACTCATGTCTTCAATGTGTTTTTCTATAGTCGGTTAACAAGCGGCAATGTATCAGTTGATACACACAACTCCACAGTCACAGAAACGACAACAGAGTAGGTTTTATTCAAAAGAGAATAATAAATGATTACCTTTTTTGGTTTGTGTTTCAATTCGCCGATGCCTTTTCCATCTCTTTCGCCCACCACTTTTCGTGATCGTCACCAAGACTTTTTGTTAGCTTATTTTTCGTCTCAGCTTTCGTCTTTCCTCGTGTTTTTGAAGCCTGCCGGAATAAGTTTTCTTGCGCCTATCAGTCTGGACGAAGCGTCATAAATCCAGTAGCATTTGGCAATCTTTAGTTTTAGGTTACCAGTAGTCCCTATCTCTATTTCGACGACAGACCGGATACTATGGTAGGCTTCTTCAAGATGAGTCTTGCTGTATATTTCAGATACACGTTAAGCTGTTTCCTCCTTGAAGAGAGATTTAGTGTTCTCATTACATCGAGGAGAAGGGAGGGGTAGCGGCTTCGTAGCTGCCTGTTTTCTAGGTCCGTATAATGATAGGCATTTACGTGCACAAACTAGGGTGTAATCGAAGTCCACGCAAGTGTCCCAGAAGGATCAGTAGTCTTCTGTCGACCTTTTCCATCAACAGTTTATCGATATGTTGTCTATTTTAGTTCGTCAATTTGAAGATGGAAGTTCCCATTTGTTTGAAATGAGTGCGGACTAGGTACAAGTTGTTACCTGAACATAACTGTAGCAGATAATCACTGTTGTCAATTTCGTCGGTATGAAACCCCATAGGTACCACCAATATACTTGCGTGACTGGCACAAGTTCCCCAGCCTATTAGAAGGACTGTATCGGAGCTTTTTACTTTTATCAACCATACTGGACAGCATTTGGTAGAACTCATCCTTTACTCCGTCCTAAATGCAGTATGTTGGCGGCGGCGGGGGGGACTGTAAGCGGAAATAATAAAAATACACCGACGGGCATCTCAATCTTTCCTTCTGATGGACCCGTTAGGCTGAACAGCACACGACTGTCCACTGGAATCATATTAAGTAGATATTTTCTTGCCCTAGCACTCAGTTCCATCTCCACACTGTCAAGTTCTTACGAACTAACCGACGAATCTTCTTACACCCTATGAGGTGGAATTTGCAGGTTCACCCTATTGACTAGGTGAGGTTAAGTGAAGATCCACACTTGGATCTTGTATGTATATTATAGAAACAAGATACATGCATGACTGGAGTAGATGCCAGAGTTTTCGCTATTGAAGCTTGTTCTATTTGATAAAGGGTCCTGGCGTTGAATGCTGCAATGCGAAGCTGACCGCGTGAGTTTAAGAGAGACTATCAGTAGTGTTTTTTCCAGCTGTCGTCGGTATTATTGATTGGAGAGTTAAGAGCTGAGAGTCGTGCCTGTGAGATAGTATCAACAGCAGGAAGAAAGCAAGATAATGAAATTGATGGAGGTAAAGGCAGGAGATGGATGGGAAAGCTTTGTGTGTTTCCCACCTGCTCACACTATGAAAGTTGTCTCCTCAAAAATGTCGTACATTTGGTACCCTTGGTAAATTTCGACAGAGAAAGAAAGATCAGATTTGCAGTATAAAATGAAATCATTCCAGTTCACAGGTTCTCATAAATCAGCTGCTGCAAACCACTGCCTGAAATTACAATGGTTATAAATAATAACATTTCATACTTCAATGTTTGAAAGGTAATAGAGAAAACATTACAAGATGAGGGCGTCTGGAATACAAGGAGGGTTGGAGTAGACAAAAAATAGAGAAATTTAATGAACAGTGTGTCTGATGAGGTTACCTGCAACCGCTTTTATAAATTTACGTGCACCTGCACCTACATTGGAAGGACAGAAAGAAGGATTTCTATCCGGTTTTCAGAGCATATTTCAAGAAAAGCATGCCTAAAAGGAAGTAGATATTTACAAAGGGCAATTCCCAGACACCCACCCCGTGGATACGGGTCATTTTGTCGAGATTTACAAATCCTTGAAAATTTTAAGCATACAAAGAACAGCGAATCTACTACGATTTGCTGAAGCAATTACAGCAATCAAACGTCTCAGACCAAACTTATGCACACAGAAATAGAGCGTAGTCAATCTCTAACGTGTTCCTTTCATTACACTGATTACTCATACACAATAGTGAGCTCAGCTCACTGAGGAAGTTTTCAATTTAATGAACTTTAACCTTGTTGAGTTTGCATGTTGGCGTACGAGCTAACACTGTCGATTAGATTTCTCTGTTTTGCTATCTTCTCTCACCCCCTACCCCGCAATTTTTTTCTAGTGTGATAGCATATAAATTGATGGTGACTTAAACTAGAAATTGTAATACTTATATTCCAGATGCGTTCATCTTGTAATGTTTTCTGTATTACCTTTCAAACATTGAAGTATGAAATGTTATTATTTATAACCATTGTCATTTCAGGTAGTTTGCAGTTAGCTGACGAGAACCTGTGAAATAGACTGATGATATCATTTTATACTGCAAATCTGATCTTTCTTTCTCTTTCGAAAGCTGTCTCCCTTTTGAGGTATATGGAACAGAGACAGAATTTGTGTTGTCTGACCGCAGAACTCAGAGGGACATCTACTTGAGGCTGGTCACAGACGGTCTGTTTGAAGTGGGTTTTGGAATGGTGTCCGTATTACTGAGGATTAGAGAGGTTTTGTGTGCATTTCGGATTGTGAGGGCGCTTGTTACTTCCCGGCTGCCCACACCGTGGAAGTTGGTTGCGTGACCGCAGAGCCCAGGGGACAACTGCTTGAGGCCGGTCACACGCGGCCTGTTTTTGTTTGTTCTCTTTTGTTTGGTGTGTCTCAGTAGCATACTTATCACTCCTACCCTGTGACACGGCAGCAGGAAGCGCGGTGGTTGTTAATCCGGGCCACGGCCGATCCGGCATGATATTTTGTGAATTTGTTTGAATCATGGTATTGGATGGGGTAGCTGCTTTTTGTTTAACCGCTATCCAAACAACCTGCCTGGCATGGTAGAACCTCAAGAGACATAAGTCTCAGCCAGTATAGCTTGAATAGATCATTGCGGTGTTCAAGCCCGACCACCACGTCAAGGTAGCAGCTTTCGGTCGGGTCCGTATTAAGATCTTACTGTTGGCTGCGGCCCGTCAGAAGGTGGTAAGTCAGAATGTGAAATCCTTGGAGTCAACCTTTATCCAATCTCGCGTATCTTCAGAGCGGCGAAGCAGCATAGCTGGCTTGCTGGTCGTTCGGAGGAAACACTTTGCTCCTGTTGCTTCTCTATTGGCCAGGAGTACTACTTCGTCCTCAGAACCCCAGCATTAGTGTAAACGACTTATGGTAGCTACTTTTAGCCCAACATCCATCCAAACAACTTTTCTGACGTAATGGGATCTGGGGGTAAGTTAATTACATTCAGTGTAGTTCGTTGGATCATTGTGATACACCAACGCGAACACTTTCAAGGTAGCAGCTATCGGTCGGGGTATATATATATATATATATATATATATATATATATATATGGCTCGTGAATTCTAACCTCTACTAAATCGTGATTTAGCACGACCCCAACCATTGTCGTTGGTGGGACATCCATCCACACACGTGACATCTAATTGGACCTCACTGGTCACGACTTCTCACTAGAACTCAGGAAACTCCAACCTGTAGCAAGTCACTAGCGAGCATCAGATTAACTTTCTATAGTTTGGTTTGTAAGGATTAGTTATGTTTTACGGGTTGATCACGGATTGATATCAGTTAGAGAACCATTGAAAACCAGGGAGTACTGGACAGCTGCTGTTTCATCCTAGTTTGGGAATCATCGGGAGTACGCACCGACTGGGATTCGAACCCGGGACGTTCCGGTTACAAGGCCAGCTCGTATACCATTCAGCCACTGGGACCCGATTCAATGGCTCGTGAATTCCAACCTCTACTAAATCGTGATTTAGCACGACCCCAACCATTGTCGTTGGTGGGACATCCATCCACACACGTGACATCTAATTGGACCTCACTGGTCACGACTTCTCACTAGAACTCAGGAAACTCCAACCTGTAGCAAGTCACTAGCGAGCATCAGATTAACTTTCTATAGTTTGGTTTGTAAGGATTAGTTATGTTTTACGGGTTGATCACGGATTGATATCAGTTAGAGAACCATTGAAAACCAGGGAGTACTGGACAGCTGCTGTTTCATCCTAGTTTGGGAATCATCGGGAGTACGCACCGACTGGGATTCGAACCCGGGACGTTCCGGTTACAAGGCCAGCTCGTATACCATTCAGCCACTGGGACCCGATTCAATGGCTCGTGAATTCCAACCTCTACTAATTCGTGATTTAGCGCGACCCCAACCATTGTCGTTGGTGGGACATCCATCCACACACGTGACATCTAATTGGACCTCACTGGTCACGACTTCTCACTAGAACTCAGGAAACTCCAACCTGTAGCAAGTCACTAGCGAGCATCAGATTAACTTTCTATAGTTTGGTTTGTAAGGATTAGTTATGTTTTACGGGTTGATCACGGATTGATATCAGTTAGAGAACCATTGAAAACCAGGGAGTACTGGACAGCTGCTGTTTCATCCTAGTTTGGGAATCATCGGGAGTACGCACCGACTGGGATTCGAACCCGGGACGTTCCGGTTACAAGGCCAGCTCGTATACCATTCAGCCACTGGGACCCGATTCAATGGCTCGTGAATTCTAACTTCTACTAAATCGTGATTTAGCACGACCCCAACCATTGTCGTTGGTGGGACATCCATCCACACACGTGACATCTAATTGGACCTCACTGGTCACGACTTCTCACTAGAACTCAGGAAACTCCAACCTGTAGCAAGTCACTAGCGAGCATCAGATTAACTTTCTATAGTTTGGTTTGTAAGGATTAGTTATGTTTTACGGGTTGATCACGGATTGATATCAGTTAGAGAACCATTGAAAACCAGGGAGTACTGGACAGCTGCTGTTTCATCCTAGTTTGGGAATCATCGGGAGTACGCACCGACTGGGATTCGAACCCGGGACGTTCCGGTTACAAGGCCAGCTCGTATACCATTCAGCCACTGGGACCCGATTCAATGGCTCGTGAATTCCAACCTCTACTAAATCGTGATTTAGCACGACCCCAACCATTGTCGTTGGTGGGACATCCATCCACACACGTGACATCTAATTGGACCTCACTGGTCACGACTTCTCACTAGAACTCAGGAAACTCCAACCTGTAGCAAGTCACTAGCGAGCATCAGATTAACTTTCTATAGTTTGGTTTGTAAGGATTAGTTATGTTTTACGGGTTGATCACGGATTGATATCAGTTAGAGAACCATTGAAAACCAGGGAGTACTGGACAGCTGCTGTTTCATCCTAGTTTGGGAATCATCGGGAGTACGCACCGACTGGGATTCGAACCCGGGACGTTCCGGTTACAAGGCCAGCTCGTATACCATTCAGCCACTGGGACCCGATTCAATGGCTCGTGAATTCC